TCGTCACCACCATTGTCACCACCATTGTCACCGCCATTGTCACCACCGTTGTCACCGCCATTGTCACCACCATTGTCATCACCATTGTCACCGCCATTGTCACCACCATTGTCACCACCATTGTCACCATTGTCACCGCCATTGTCACCACCATTGTCACCACCGTTGTCACCGCCATTGTCACCACCATTGTCACCGCCATTGTCACCACCATTGTCACCGTCGTCACCACCATTGTCACCGCCATTGTCACCGCCATTGTCACCACCATTGTCACCACCATTGTCACCGTCGTCACCACCATTGTCACCACCATTGTCATCACCATTGTCACCGCCGTCGTCACCACCATTGTCACCACCATTGTCACCGCCGTTGTCACCGCCACGCGCGCCACCTTAGCGCCCCTCCCCCCCGCGTGCCGTTGATGATGAATGATCTACACCGCCACCAACCCCGGCCATCGCGCTTCCTCGGTTCACCGTCGTCGTTGCATCGCTACCGCGCCTTCGTTGAATCGTGGTCATCCAGCAGTGGATTGAGCGTTGGGGGGGGGGCGGGGGCAGGGGGTGCCTTGACCCCCCTCCCTGGTGGCCAAAACTACAAGTTGGGCCCCCCCCCTTGACAACCCACCATGAGCTTTGTTTCCAACAATAAGTGTCAAAGAACAACAACAACAACTATTTAAAACTGCGTTTATTTTTGTTAAATTAATGCTTAACGATGCCCCTTTGTCTCCCCAGTGGCGATGTTTATTTACACACCGCACCAGGTACTCATTTGAGGCCGTGTCCACCTAGGCGAGGCCCAGGACCGCTTCAGATAATCATCATCTGGTGTTGGTGGCCGTGAGCGGGAATCGAACTCGGGTCGCCGGGTTCGTAGCAGAACGTAAAGCTAACCGCTACTACACTACCGCTCCTCACACGCGTGTGCGCACACACACACACACACGTGTGCACACACAACAACCCCCATTCGCCACTAAGTGGCGGTGATGTCACCACGACGCTTGTGCCAGGCTAGGTGCACGTTGAGGCCACGTGAAGTGTCGAACGCCTGCTGGCAGGAGGTCACGGGGCAGACCCAGGTGCCACTGGTTGACTGACTGAGATGACTGAGACGACTGGCTGATGCACCACCTGTGCCCCCTACTGTGCCAACTTGCTGTGCTTTAGCCACCCGGCGCCCTGCTCGTTGTTGTGAGCGTCGGTCCTCCGCCCTCCGTTGTTGTTGGAGGGCGACTGCCTCCAACTGCCCAGCAGCGTCTTTCACGAGCCTCCTCCAAAGGCCGATCTTGACACCGCTGGTACCAGTCATCGGCAAGTCCACTCAGCTCCACGTCCTCCTGTACCACATCACTCCATCTCTTCTCTAGTCTGTGCAGCGCCCGTTTAGCCCCCTCGATCCGGCTGAATAAAAGCTGTTTAGGTATGCTGTGACTGTGCATGCGGGCTACATGACCCAGCCAACACAGCCTTGCCTGCCGAAGGAGTTCCTCACAGAATCCAGCCTGGTTAAACCCAGGATGGATCGTAGGCAGGCCAGCCTAAATATTTCCAATCGGTGAAGATGTTCCATTAGGGGGGTTCACGTTTCGCAAGCGTAGAGAAGGGAGGGAATTACCGTGGCCGAGAAGACTTGAGGCTTCGTGCGGAGCAACAGACCAAGTAGCTTCCATGCAGCGTTATGCAACCAATGAAAAGATAATGTCGCTCGACTGATTCTGAGTGAGACCTCTGCTGTCAAACCGGAGCCAGTCACGAGCACACTGCCAAGGTATGGGAAACTCTCCACTCTCTCCACAACCGTCCATCACCGATTGGGAGTTGTGGGGGTGGAGTGCCCGATGGTACAAAATACCCAGGCAGGTGCTTAGTTTTGGTGGGGCTGATGGTAAGGCCCCACCTCTTAGTGGCACGCTCCAGTTTTAGCAGCAGCGCCTCCAACTCCTCTGAGTGAGCGGCAATTACCACATCATCGGCATACATAACGTGGTTGACCAATAGGCAGCCATCCCTTGACCGCACCCGGGCATCGATCAGCCTCCCATTGTATCTGTACCAGATGGAAATTCCTCTGGTACAGCCATCAAAGGCTTCAAGAACTACGTGGTCGAAAAATATGTGAAATAATGTGGGAGCCAGAGGACATTCCTGTCGCACCCCAAGGTGAACACGGAATGGCTCCGACTCCCGGCCACGTAGTTTTACCCGGGCCTGCTCACCATCATGAAGGTCCTTAATGATCATGAGCAGAGGGTCAGAGACTCCGAAAGCATGAAGAACAACCCAGAGCCCAGGCCTACGGATGGTATCATAGGCCTTGACCAGGTCAATAAAGCAGAGATGTAGGTCTTGTTGGGATTCCCTACACCTCTGCTGTAGCAAACGTACAGAAAATCTGGCATCTGTGCAGGACCGCCCTTTCCTTAAACCACATTGAGGCTTCGCAAGCCTCTCCTCAGCGTGCCTGGCAAGGCGATGTTGAATAATCCTTGCCAGGTCCTTTCCAGGCACACTGAGGAGTGAGATGCCCCTGTAGTTGTTACAGTCTGTGTGGTCCCCCTTCTTAAAGAGGGGGACGACCAGGGCATCCTTCCAATCCTGCTGAACCCGTCCAGTGATCCAGACTGTTGTTATGATGTCATGTAGGGCAGTCTGTGCACAAACGCCACCCTCCCTCAGCATTTCGCTCTGCCCGGTGCCTTTCCCAGTCTCAGACTCTGTATTGCCTTGATTACTTCCTGAACAGATGGCACCTCAGCCAGCCACTCACAGGGGGTGACTTCTTCCTCCAATATTTGAGGCACCGCAGCCTCAGCAGGGTCATCCCCACTTTGTCCCACGATGTTTTCTATGTCGAGGGATTTTCCCTCCCCCAGGACTTCACAGAAATGCTCAGCAAATCTGCAAACCTGTTCCGTTTTTTCCCCTAATGATGGTAATAGGTGTGGCGCTGCGGGTTACTTTTTTGATGGAGTTAAATAGAGATTTGTGATCGCGGGCCATTGAGGCAGACTCCATCTCCTCAGCAACCCGCGACCACCACCCATCCTTGCAGCGCCTCACGGCTCTTAGAACCTCTGAGCGAAGGCTGCGGTAAGCCTCCTCATTCTCTGACATAGGATGCTGTAGACAATTAGAGTGGGCCTGTCGGCCAAGGTCTCTGGGGAGGTCTGGACCACGTACCCAAAGCAGCCATTGCAGCTGCCTGAGTCACAGTCCTAAACCTCGCCCATTTACCCTCAACATCTGGCGGAGTGGGGGACAATGCCAACCCCAGCCGCAAGCGATTAAATTCTCGCTTGCAACTTTCATCAGCTAGCTGAGACCAGGTCACCATAGGTTTGAATGGGGTCCTGGGTATACACCCACCACCGGAGTGGAAGAATAGCAAGCGCATCTTACAGATGACAAGTCGATGGTCAGAGGGCAGATCAGCTCCACGGTAGGTTCTGGTGTCAAGGACATGGGCCGCATCCGCTGTTCCGTCACTATGTAGTCCAGCATGCATCCATGATGTGTGGATGCGCTGATGCCGGAATAGCGTGTTGGTAATTAGAAGCCCATGGGCTGCACAAAAATCTAGCAGCCTCCTACCGTTGTTATTGAGCTGATCTGGCCCATGCCTTCCAATCACTCCAGACCAGGTGCCAGCATCATGACCAACTCGGGCATTGAAGTCACTCAACAAGATGACTCTATCCCGAGGGGCCACTTTAGCCAGCACCTGTGACAGGTCATAGAAGGTATCTGACTCATCGGCCTTGCCTACATCCCTCCACGGATGTTCGTCTTTGGTGGGGGCATAAGTAACCACGACCACCACTCCTTGCCTCCGTTTGATGGGAAGGTGAGCCTAAAGTAGCCTGGGGCTTACAGCTTCCCACACCTCACCGCCACGCTCCCACGCCCCCTTCATTCTTTTGTTCAGAAGAAGAGCCACTCCCTGTTGTTTGGTAGTCTCCTGCCCCGAGTAGAGGACTCCGCACCCCTCATGGTGGCAGGAGCCAGAGCCGGTCCACCGGACCTCCTGAATGCCACAAAGATCCAGGCGGTACCGGTCCAGCTCCCGACAGAGGAGTGGCAGCCTCTCCTCCGCAGTGAGCATTCGAACATTCCACGTGGCCATCCGTAGTGGCTTTTTGTTATTTCTGGAGGCGCTCCAAGGGTAAAGATTCAATCTCCTGGCTCCGCCAAATGGGGTTTGGCCAGAAGACGTCATAGACGCCTGTCCCCGCGGGGCCTCCTTCACAAACTTATTAATTCGATATTTTTTTCATGGTTTTGTGTTAATTTCTTGAAGGGTTATCAGCCCCTCGCACCTGTCCAGAGCCCCCATTTGGCCGCTGTGGTGGTTACCAATGCCGTGAGGGGAAAGGGCCAATCAGAATTGGCCAACCCCCCCCACAGCACTGTCCACGACAGCGTTGCCCGTCCGGCACCGCGAGTGTACACACACACACACACACCCGCCACTGCGAGGTCCAACAACAATGACCAACTGTGAACTGTCAGCCGGCCAATGCAGACGGCATCGATCGCTCCGGAAATATTTAATTTCGGCACAAATTGTCCGCACGTCGTCGGGAGCATTCAAATCCGTCGCGCTCTCCGGCGTCTGACGCGGTGGCGTCCGACGTTTCGCCGCCACGTGCTTTACGAACCTTCTCTTGCAGTGATTGGTCGATCGGGATCATAGTCGCCACCTGCACCAACACCACGCCGTTCGCCACGGCGCCTGTGCCAGGCCAGGTGCACTTTGAGGCTACCGCGTGAAGTGTCGAAGGCTCACTGGCAGGAAGTGTCGGGACAGACCCTGCAGGTGTCATGGGTTGGCTGACTGAGATGACCGGTAGATGCACCACCAGCTGTACCCCCCTACTGTGCCAGGCTAGGTGCAGCAGGAGGTCTCGAGACAGACCCTGCAGGTGCAATAGGTTGCCTGACTGAGATGACCGGTAGATGCACCACCAGCTGTACCGCCCGACTGTGCCAGGCTAGGTGCAGGAGGAGGTCTCGGGACAGACCCTGCAGGTGCCATGGGTTGGCTGACTGAGATGACCGGTAGATGCACCACCAGCTGTACCCCCTACTGTGCCAAATTGCTGCGTTTTATCCTGCCTCCAGTTGCCCAGTCACAGCAGCAGCAGCGTCCTTCACGAACCTCCTCCTCCGCAAAGGCCGATCTTGACACCGCAGCTGGTAGCAGGCAGTCTACGGCAAGTCCACTCAGCTCCACGTCCGCCTTCGCCCCCCCCCTCTCCTTCAACGCTCATTCGTGGGGGGCGGTCGGCAATGAAACCGCTCGTGACTTTCCGTCCGTGAACATTTCGACCGCTCACAGCCGCCAGGCCGCCCGGCGTCGCCCTACGTGAGCCGGTCCATCGGCGTCCCCTCCAGGAGGCCGCCGCCGGGGCCGCCGGAGCCGCCGCCGCCGCCCAGCAGGTAGGCGAGCAGGTAGGAGAGCAGGTAGGCGACGATGGCGAACGCGAACGAGACGGAGAGCAGGCGCGAGAAGAGGCCGGCGCCCTCCGTGACGTAGAGCGCGGCGTCGGCGCGCAGCGCGCCCGCCAGGAACACGATCGCGGCGCCGTCGTCCCGCCAGCCGACGCGCCGGACCACCAGCGTGTGCGTCGCGCCCAGGTGGCCGACGATGTGGCGGCCGTCGTCGATGGCGGCGGCGGCGGTGCCGGCGGCGGTGCCGGCGGTGCCGGCGGCGGCGCCGGCCGATGAGATCTGGACGCCGTCGCGAAGCCACTGGCCCGGCATGGGCCGGGAGAGCTGGATGGTGAAGGCGGCGTCGTCGTCGCGCGAGGCGTGGACGTCGCTCAGCGGCGAGAGCACCTCCACGTCCCCTTCTGGCGGTGGAGGGGGGCCGGGGTGGAGAGGGGGGGGGGTGGAGAGGGGGGGTGGAGAGGGGGGGGTGTAGAGGGGGGTGGAGAGGGGGGGGGGGGGGCGCGCGGTGGATTTGATGCATCGGCAGGATCGTGAGATGCTGGCGGTACGCTTGTACAGGAGGCCTTCATCCAGCGGTGGATTGATCGTGACCCGCTGATAATGAGTCTGTGTGGCACGACGCAACAGGTACCGGCCCGCGGTGGCAGCCATAGCGAGCGAGCGAGCGAGCGCGAGAGATGGAGCGAGCGATACCCGACGTGGTGTGCTGTGTACGGAACAAATATTTCTCCGTTTGACCCCCCCCCCCCTGGACGGACTCGGCTGAAATTAAACGGTGACTGCTTTGTGCCGTGCAAGGCGACACCGTGAACACGTGACGCAGCCCCTGTGCTCCGTGATAACGTGCCCTTAAAATATACCGTGCACAAACGCGCACGCACGCACGCACACACACAGACGCGCGCACAGACAGACAAAGATCCCACGTGTAGCCTTTAACAGACTGCCGGGGCAAGTGCTGATAGCCAGTGGCATCTGTGAAGGCCGGCACGGCACACGAGGGGGTGGGTGGCCAGCACCACGCCCGACCGCCTTTGTCTCCCCAGTGACGATGTTTTACGCACCGCACCAGGTACTCATTTGAGGCTGAGTCGACCTAGGGAAGGCCCAGAACCGGTTCAGATAATCGTCACTGTGGTGTTGTTGGCCATGAGCGGGAATTGAACTCGGACGGCCGGGTTTGTAGTGCAGCATTGCGCTCACCGCTACTACACTACCGCTCCCCACAAAAAAACATACACACACGCACATACGTACAGATACAGACATACGGACAGATACAGACATACGTACAGATACAGACATACGTACAGATACAGACATACGTAGAGATACAACATACGTACAGATACAGACATACGGACAGATACAGACATACGTACAGATACAGACATACGTACAGATACAGACATACGGACAGATACAGACATACGTACAGATACAGACATACAGACAGATACAGACATACGTACAGATACAGACATACGTACAGATACAGACATACGTACAGATACAGACATACGTACAGATACAGACATACGGACAGATACAGACATACGGACAGATACAGACATACGTACAGATACAGACATACGTACAGATACAGACATACGTACAGATACAGACATACGTAAAGATACAGACATACGGACAGATACAGACATACGTACAGATACAGACATACGGACAGATACAGACATACGGACAGATACAGACATACGTACAGATACAGACATACGTACAGATACAGACATACGTACAGATACAGACATACGGACAGATACAGACATACGTACAGATACAGACATACGTACAGATACAGACATACGTACAGATACAGACATACGGACAGATACAGACATACGTACAGATACAGACATACGTACAGATACAGACATACGTACAGATACAACATACGTACAGATACAGACATACGGACAGATACAGACATACGTACAGATACAGACATACGGACAGATACAGACATGCGTACAGATACAGACATACGTACAGATACAGACATACGTACAGATACAGACATACGGACAGATACAGACATACGGACAGATACAGACATACGGACAGATACAGACATACGGACAGATACAGACATACGTACAGATACAGACATACGGACAGATACAGACATACGGACAGATACAGACATACGGACAGATACAGACATACGGACATATACAGACATACGTACAGATACAGACATACGGACAGATACAGACATACGTACAGATACAGACATACGGACAGATACAGACATACGTACAGATACAGACATACGGACAGATACAGACATACGGACAGATACAGACATACGGACAGATACAGACATACGGACAGATACAGACATACGGACAGATACAGGCACACGTGGGCACTTGAAGAGCCGACAGTCTCGTTCAGTAGAAAGTTGCGTTGGCGCCATTCGGGACCTTACCCTATTGCAAACCGGCGAAAATTGGAAGGACTGCCCAAAAACTCGTAGCCAGTTACCCAGCTAGCTTCGCCGGCGAGGTGCCCGCAGCAGCCACTCGCAACAACAGCAACAACAACAGCAGCAGCAGCGGCAGCAGCAGCGGCAGCGGCGGCGTTATCGTTGGCGCAGAGAGGCGCCCGGCCAGCAGCCAGCCAGGAGACTGGAGACATAGACGTTTGTGCGTGTCCTAATCGCGTTATAACATCGGTTACGCGTTTCAGCGTTTTGGCAACCGACAATTATTCCAGATTTTTTTGATCGTTTCATCAACTCACATTTTTTTTATTTAAATTTTTTTATTTTTTATTTTAAATAAAACCAGACGGACTTACTGACGAGCACCGGCCCCCGTAGCTCGGCGAAGGGGCCCCTTCCGCCCTGGGCGCCGACGGCGGCCACGCGGAACTCGAACTCGGCGCCGGTTTGCAGGCCGCCCACCGTGAGCTCGGTGCGGGCGCCGGGCCCGCTCACGTCCACCCACGCCGGCGCTCGATCGCCCCGGGCGCGCATCTCCACCGCGTAGCGAGCCGCGTCGACTCCGCCGTCCGTGGGCGGCGCCCGCCACTCCAGCGACACCGTGCTGTAGCTCACGGTGCGGACGCGGAAATCGGACGGCGGCCACCGAGGAGCCGGCACTGGGGAGGGGGCGGGGGTGGGAGGAGGTGGGAGGAGAAGAGAGGAGAAGGTGGGAGAGGGAAAGAGGAGGAGGGAGGAGGAGGAGGTGGATGGTGGATGGAGGAAGGAGGAGGAGGTGGGAGCAGGAGCAGCAGGAGGAGAAGGTGGGAGGATGTAGTGGAGGAGGAGGAGGGAGGAGAAGGTGGGAGAGGGAAAGAGGAGGAGGGAGGTGGAGGAAGGAGGAGGATGGAGGAGGTGGAGGATGGAAGAGGAGAAGGTGGGAGGATGTAGTGGAGGAGGAGGAGGAGGAAGAGGAGGAGGAGGAGGAGGGAGGAGAAGGTGGGAGAGGGAAGGAGGAGGAGGTGGGAGGATGTAGTGGAGGAGGAGGGAGGAGGAGCAGGAGGAGGAGGTGGAAGGAGGAGGAGGGAGGAGAAGGTGTGAGGATGTAGTGGAGAAGGAGGAGGAGGAGGGAGGGACAGACACCAATCCATTATCCAGACGTGCAGAATCATGGCGCTAGTGCAACTTAAGGGACGATGGGGGGTGGGGGGGAGAGGGGGGTGGCCGTACCTTTGACGCGGACTTTGCACGTGGTCCTGGACTCCCCGGCCTTGAAGGTGACGTCACAGTCGTCCCCGAGAGCGACGCGAGCGATCTCGAGCGTGCGCGTTCGTCCGCTCGCCGCCGTCGTCAAGGCGGCTGCGGCGGCGGCGGCGACGGCGACGCCGTCGCGAAGCCACTCGCCCTCGAGGAGGGCGTCGTCCACCTCCACAGCGAGCGTCAACGCCTCGCCCTGACGCACCTCCACGAGGCGCGGGAGCTTCTGCACGATCCGCCCTGTAGGGAGTGGCGAGATGTTGACTACCTCGCCTGGTGCGCAGGAGGTTGTTGGGTTCGATCCCGACCCCCGACGCCTGCTGCTGTATATTTAGAGTGTTGCGTGTCTCTCTCTCTCTCTCTCATCATCATCACGGTGGCTAGGAGATGTTGACTACCTCGCCTGGTATATAGGAGGTCGTGGGTTCGATCCCGACCCCGACGCCTGCTGTATAATAATAATAGGGTTTTTCCCCTTTTTTCTGGCAACAAAACTGAAACCTTTTTTACGAAGATTCATGTCTGCATTAACCACAATACCTGCAGTCAAAATGCAAACAAAAAACATACTATGATAATATATGTGGCATTGTCCTTGAAACTGATTGGTCCACACCAAGGGACGGCTTTCTTTTGAGCCTCGACCCAATTGGTGCTCGACCAGATGACGTACTGGCAAAGGAGGTCTAATGATGCCTGCTGTATATTTGGAGTTTGCGTGTCTCTCTCATCATCATCATCACGGTGACTAGGAGATGTTAACTCCCTCGCCTGGGGTACAGGAGGTCGTGGGTTCGATCCCGCCCCTGACGCCTGCTGCTGTATATTTGGAGTTTGCGTGTCTCTCTCTCTCATCATCATCACGGTGGCTAGGAGATGTTAACTCCCTCGCCTGGTATACAGGAGGTCGTGGGTTCGACCCCGACCCCTGACGCCTGCTGCTGTATATTTAGAGTTTGCGTGCCGCTCTCTCCCCGTGGTCGCGTGGCATTTTTCCCCTCCGGATCCTCGGGGTTTCCCTCCACGTTTAGAATCGACGTCACGCATCGAGAGTATTTGGCTGCTGCTCAAAATGTCCACGTGATGACGAGGAGTCAAATTCATTGAGCTATCGTGTGTGATGGGCAGGTCGCTTCTGAAAAAGAGATACATAGCAGCTTCGTGAGCCTAACCTTGGTTAAGTAAAAAAAATAGTTTGGTCGAGTTGATCACGTGTTACATCACCGATGACTGCCCCAAAACAACACGTGCTCTGGTGGAACAATCGGACCACTCCACAGCTGTGGTGCTCTATGAGTCTCTGTGGGCACCTGTGAGTCTCCTTGAGTGTGGATCTCTACGGGTCGCTATGGATCTCGATGGGTCTCTTCCTACGATTGCTGTTGTTATATTGTATTTCATAGCTTTATTTTGGTGATTTCGAAAACACATGGTTAAGCCGTCTTTCTTGCGGAAGTGCGGAGTTGGCCTGATAACTTTCATCTGAATTGTCTAGTGGTTGATCATTGGTTTTTTATACCCTTTTATCTGGCAACAAAACCGACACCTTTTTTTACAAGGAGTCATGTATACATTGACCACAATACCTGCGGTCGGAACGCAAACAAAAAACAACAACTCTGATAATGTATGTGGCACTGTCCTTGAAATTGATTGGTTCACACCATGTAAGACGAGGCTCTAAAGAAAGCTGTCTCGGGTGTGGACCAATCAATTTCAAGGACAGTGCATACATTATCAGAGTTAAATTTTGATTTAAAGCTTTCGTGACTGCAGTAATTCATATTCTTAGTTTTTTCGGTAAAGTCACGTTGAAGAGAAACAACAAAATAACAAAATATATATAAAACAATAAAAAATTCTCACGACGTTTCGACCATAACTCAAACGGTCATCATCAGGTGTGTCGGTTTGCATAAATTTATTTTGAAAACGGAATATTTATATATATAAAAATAACGTTTGCGTCACGCGCAACGATTGGCAGTTTGCCCAGGACTAGTCCATCTATTTTTTGAAAAGAGGAGGGGGGAGACGAAATTTGTTTTTATGTATGCTGTCTGAAAGCCACTGTAAGCGTGAACAATCAATCAAGAACTGAAATGATTTATCAAATCTTTCCAATGATTGCTAAGATAGAATCCATCTTCTCGGTTGAAATTGTCTCTGTGCTTGTATATGTGGATAGCCTCATGAACGAATCTCTCATGGAAGCCAGATGGCTTACAAAGAACCTCCGTCTTGGAAAAGTCAATGGCATGTGAGCCTACTGAATTAGAACAATGATCTGCTACGGCCGAGGTGTTGGTCCTACCGTGTTTAAGGTCTGCTTTATGTTCACGAATGCGGTCCGAGATATGGCGTTTGGTTTCTCCAATGTAACTACTACCACAGAGGCAACTTAGTTTGTAGACACAAGGGTATTGTATGTCCGGAATCACATCTTTTACAGACGGAACCAGATCACGGATTTTATGTAATGTGTTGAAACGGACCTGGATCTTGTGTTTATTCAAGATTTTGGAGATCTTTTTTGTGATCCCAGCAATGTAGGGTAAAGTGAGGGCACCCCAATGGGCTCCCCCCTTTCTCCAGTTATAGCTAACATTTTCATGGAGAAATTTGAGACTGACGCCATCCAGACTGCCACTCTGCGCCCAACCTTATGGAAGAGGTACGTGGATGACACTTTTGTCATCTGGCCACATGGCCGGCCTGCTCTAGACCAATTCTTCGACCACATCAATTCCATACACCCAGCCATCAGATTTACCATGGAAGTCGAAATAGATGGCAAGATACCTTTTTTGGATGTCTTAATTAAAAAGAGACCTGATGGTTCAATGAGCCACTCTGTCTACAGGAAAGCTACCCATACGGATGCTTATCTGAAACCGGATTCCCACCACCATCCATCACAGAAGAATTCTCTCATCAAGACTCTGTATCATAGAGCCCAATGCATATCCGACCAGGAACACATAAGCAGTGAACTCAAGCACGTACACCAAGCTCTTAGGGCTAATGGTTACTCCGACTATACAATCCGCAAAGCTATCACTCAAACCATGAAGAAGAACCCTCTTGAGGAGCCTTTCAAAACCATCACTTTACCCTACATTGCTGGGATCACAAAAAAAGATCTCCAAAATCTTGAATAAACACAAGATCCAGGTCCGTTTCAACACATTACATAAAATCCGTGATCTGGTTCCGTCTGTAAAAGATGTGATTCCGGACATATAATACCCTGGTGTCTACAAACTAAGTTGCCTCTGTGGTAGTAGTTACATTGGAGAAACCAAACGCCATATCTCGGACCGCATTCGTGAACATAAAGCAGACCTTAAACACGGTAGGACCAACACCTCGGCCGTAGCAGATCATTGTTCTAATTCAGTAGGCTCACATGCCATTGACTTTTCCAAGACGGAGGTTCTTTGTAAGCCATCTGGCTTCCATGAGAGATTCGTTCATGAGGCTATCCACATATACAAGCACAGAGACAATTTCAACCGAGAAGATGGATTCTATCTTAGCAATCATTGGAAAGATTTGATAAATCATTTCAGTTCTTGATTGATTGTTCACGCTTACAGTGGCTTTCAGACAGCATACATAAAAACAAATTTCGTCTCCCCCCTCCTCTTTTCAAAAAATAGATGGACTAGTCCTGGGCAAACTGCCAATCGTTGCGCGTGACGCAAACGTTATTTTTTTTATATATATATAAATAAATATGCCGTTTTCAAAATAAATTTATGCAAACCGACACACCTGATGATGACCGTTTGAGTTATGGTCGAAACGTCGTGAGAATTTTTTATTGTTTTATATATATTTTGTTATTTTGTTGTTTCTCTTCAACGTGACTTTACCGAAAAAACTAAGAATATGAATATTATCAGAGTTGTTGTTTTGTGTTTGCGTTCCGACCGCAGGTATTGTGGTCAATGTAAACATGACCCCTTGTAAAAAAAAGGTGCCAGTTTTATTGCCAGATAAAAGGGTAAAAAAAACAATTATCATATTTTGTTACTGGCAAATGAGGTTTCCGATGGTGTCTAGTGGTTGTTATTGTTTGACTTGCATCACACTGGTTTATCCAGGATGTTTCTGCTTCAAGATGTTTCTCTGTTCATGTTTTTGTTTTTAGCGGTTGCGCCCGACTCGAGAGCCGCATGGCTCACAGGGCTCTCTACCTAATACATGAAACTTGAGTTGCCACGGGTTTCTGTGAATCTCTGCGTATGGATGTCTACGAGTTTCTACTGCTCCGTGCGAGTCTCTCCGAGTATCTCTTCGTCTATACAGGTATCTATGGATCTCTACGCGTCTCTGTGGACCTCTATGAGTCTCTGTGAGTATCCACGACCTACTTTGTTCGTGTTTGTTGCCGTTTGCAACCGATTCAAGAGCCGAATGGCTCACGGGGCCATACCTAATTAATGAACTAAATGAACTAAAACTAAACAAAAAAACTCCCGCCGGAGCGGCGAACGAAGTTGAAAAACGCATTCGGAGTGCGGTGGGAGGGGAGGAGAAAGCGCATTGAGATTATTTTGCAGCTATAAATTTCCACCCCGTGTTTCGGAAGCCACTGTGGGGAGCTGTGTCCCTTCTCTTTCCACCTCATCTGGATCGAAAGCTCGCTCCTTCGGATTCCCCCGGCGGTGCAAATATTCCGATTCCGGACAGGAAGAAGGAAGACGGAGAGGGAGGAACGCTCGATCCCACCTCTGACGGAGAGCTCGGCGACGGTGCGGCTGCCCCCGCGCGTCTCGCAGACGTACACCGCGTCGTCGTCCGCCGTCACGTCCCGGATGACGAGCCGGCGCTTGGTGCCGTCCGCCTCGATGCCGTACTTGTGGTCGGGCGCCAGCGGCGTGTCCTCCAGGAACCAGCGCGCCGACAGCCCCGCCGAGGGCACCTCGCACTCCAGCGTGGCGACGCCGCGCTCCGGCACCTCCACGTCGCGCAAGCGGCTCTTGAACAGCAGCTGCGGCTCTGGTGGGGGACGACGGCGCGTTTTGATTTCCACGAGTCTCTGCGAGTCTCTGTGAGTACCTACGAGCATCAACGAGTCTCTACGAATAATTATGAGTATCAACGAGTCTCCGCGAGTCTCTGTGAGTATCTACGAGCATCAACGAGTCTCTACGAATATTTTATGAGTATCTACGAGTCTCTATGAGTGTCTGCGAGTGTCTATGAGTATCTGCGAGTCTCTACGAGTATCCACGAGACACTACAAATGTCTATGAGTCTCTATGAGTATCTACGAGTATCTACGAGTATCTACGAGTCTCTATGAGTATCTGCGAGTCTCAACGAGTATCTACGAGTATCTACGAGTCTCTAGGAGACACTACACATGTCTACGAGTCTCTACGAGTATCTATGAGTATCTACAACCTACCCACGTGGGAACGGCTGACAAAATTGGAAATGCATTTGTAGCATGGGAGGAGAAGAGGAGGGGAAGTTCAACCCCTCCATGTTTATGTCCCACCGCTTTACTACTTAGGCCCCACTCTTTCCTGGTTAGGCCCCGCCCCTTCCTGATGATACCCCGCCCCCTTCCTGACGAGGACCCGCCCCTTTCCTCCTCATGCTCCACCGCTTTACTACTTAGGCCCCACTTTTTCCTTGTTAGGCCCCGCCCCTTCCTGACGTTACCCCACCCCCTTCCTGATGAGGACCCGCCCCCTTCCTCCTCATGCTCCACCGCTTTACTACTTAGACCCCACTCTTTCCTGGTTAGGCCCCGCCCCTTCCTGACGATACCCCACCCCCTTCCTGACGAGGCCCCGCCCCTTCCTGGTGAGGCCACGCCCCCTTCCTGGTGAGGCCACGCCCCCTCCCTAATTATGCCTCACCCCTTCCTGATGATGCCCTACCATCTCTAACTCTTTCGACTTCATGCCTTTACATTTTTAGGCCCCTGGCGTGGCATCCATCCGCGCTCGTGTGGCATGGACTCGAACCTCCGATTGAGCACGGTTGGCTATGTACTGTGCAAAAGAAGTTCAACATACATTGAACGCGCTCGCTACTCCCTAGCCAATGTTTTTGCGCTGTGATGCACCACAAGGCTTTTTGACGACAGAATTCGGCCAACCGAGAACGAGAGAGAGAGCGAGAGCGAGAGAGAGAGTGAGAGAGCGAGAGAGCGATAGAGAGAGCGAGAAAGAGCAAGAGAGAGCGATAGAGAGAACGAGAGAGTGGGAGAAAGCGAGAGAGAGTGAGAGAGAGCAAGAGAGAGAACGAGAGAGAGCGAGGGAGAGCGAGAGAACGAGAGAGAGAGTGCAAGAGAGAGAGCGAGAGAGAGAGAGAGCAAGAGAGTGAGAGAGAGTGAGAGAGAGCGAGAGAGAGAGAGCAAGAGAGAGCGAGAGAGAGAACGAGAGAGTGGGAGAAAGCGAGAGAGAGCGAGAGAGAGCAAGAGAGAGAACGAGAGAGAGCGAGGGAGAGCGAGAGAACGAGAGAGAGAGAGCAAGAGAGAGAGTGAGAGAGAGCGAGAGAGAGAGCGAGAGAGCGAGAGCCTGATTGCCGGAGTTTTGTCTGCTGTGGGCAAGAGTCGACGCAGACTCGCGGTACCGTTCACGACGAGCTGCACGGCGCTGAAGGTCTGCCCGATGGCGTTGGAAGCGGAGCAGGTGTAGAAGCCGTTGTCCTCCTGCCGGCAGAAGAGAACGCGCAGCACAAAGAGTCCTCCACCGCCGCCGCCGGATCCACCTCCTCCTCCTCCACCTCCCTGTCCTCCCCCACCGTCCTCGTCCTCGTACATCATGTAGCGGCGGCTCCTACGGAGCGGCACCCCGCTCTTCATCCACACGATGTCGGGCTTCGGTTTCCCCGTCACCCGGCAGCTGAGCCGCGCGTGTTTGCCCTCGGTCACCGTGAAGACGCCGGGCGTCTCGCTGTGGCTCTGGTAGCGGTGCTGCTGCTGCTGCTGCGTGGCGGCCGTGGTGGTGGTGGTCATGAGGGCGGATGGCCGGCACGAGCCGCCGCCGTCGTCGCCGTTGCTGCTGTGCGAGTCGACGCCGCTGTTGTAGACGCCGCTGTGGTAGACGCCGCTGTGGTAGACGCCGCTGTTGTAGACGCCGCTGTTGTAGACGCCGCTGTGGTAGACGCCGCTGTCGTAGACGCCGCCGCCGCTGCTGCCGTGGCGCTTGCGGTGGACGAGCGACTGGGCGTCGTCGGGGGCAGACGGCAGCCCCGAGTCCGATTGTCTCCGCTGGAGCTGCTGCTGCTGCCCCCACCGGAGGTCAGGGTCAGAGGTCGCCGGCTCGATGCCCTCTGCCGACCGGTCGCCGTCCGCTAAGGGCGAGCACGCCAGGAGGGGGCGGGAGGGGGTGGCGGGGTGGTGGGGAGATGCAACGGTCGAGAGGTCGATGGGGGGGGGGTTGGTAAAGGTGCAGCCCTGCAGTTGCTTGCCCCGCGGCACCGCGGGTGGATGGGCGCTCCCTGTGGAACGGGCTCGACGAGGAGAAGTGAATGGTATTGTGGTAACACCATGGACGTCCATGGCGGGGGTGACGTCGAAACAGGGGGAGCCCCCCAAAGCGCGGGGCCCGGGCCAGTTGCTTTGGGGCGACGCCACCTGGCGAGCTAAGCGGCCTCGCTTGAAACCTGAACTTCCGGCCAGCCGTTCGTGCTGAGGATCCGAAGCTGGATTTATGCTGCAGGAGGAATCCGATGAGCTATAAAGCTCTTTTTTTTCGCAGATTGTCCAGCGGAGGTGGATCCTTAAACTTCTCAAGGTGGGACAGGGTCGGGGGAAGGTGGGGGGGGGGGGGGGCTGTACGAGAAATGAATCGCCGGGCGATTAATTTTGGAACACCTTCAGTCCATTTGATCCGTACATTTATAAAAAAAAAAGCTTCTCTATTCCCATTGAAATTAGGACGGCGTCGCTCAGTGGGTGGCTTCAATGACCGAACTGCCGCAGCGGGTTTGGGTGCGTGGGTGAGTTGGCAGGCACATGCCCTCCTGTGCAGAGACAGGGAGGGATGCTTGGGAAAGGTCAGAGGTTGATTGTTCGGAAACAGGGAAGCGGGGAGATATAATGGCATTGGGACCCGGAGTGAGAGATGAGAGAGACTGGGGGGTCTGGGACAGATATCAAACTCTAATCGAGGATTTTCCTTCGGATCTGACACGCACAGTCATATGAAACTCGAGGATTTCCCTCCAGACCTGGCATGCATAGTAACATCAAACTAATCGAGGCTTTACAGAATAAGAATATGTATTTACGCTGGAGGAATATGATGAGCTATAAATCTCTTTTTTCACAGATGTCCAGTAGGGGCACGGGGTAAGAACGTTACAACAACAAACAGCACAACAACACGATAGAAGTGCAAAGTACAAGAAAGGTAACCAAATGACCCAAACACAAACAAATACAACAACTAAACCATCCTACCAGGCAAAGCCCATGATGATGCACCACTCCGCTACTCCTCCTGACACAATCACCCAGCTCCTCAACCACCTCCATGGAGCATCACGGTCGTTGCTCTGTAGGGGACTCCTCTAGTGAGGAACATTAAACTTACGAACTTTCAGAGATACGGACAAACCTGTCCGTATGTCCAGTTGCCTGTTCGGACCGACAGTCGAAAGTTCAAGCGCCGCGAAATAGATGTCGGTGGTGGCATCTACATCTGCAGAACGTGAAGAACCAGTGGCATCTATATCTCTAGAACGTGAAGAACCAGTGGCATCAATATCTACAGAATGTGAAGAACCAGTGGCATCTACATCTGCAGAACGTGAAGAACCAGTGGCATCTACATCTACAGAATGTGAAGAACCAGTGGCATCTACATCTACAGAACATGAAGAACCAGTGGCATCTACATCTGCAGAACGTGAAGAACCAGTGGCATCTACATCTGCAGAATGTGAAGAACCAGTGGCATCTACATCTACAGAATGTGAAGAACCAGTGGCATCTACATCTACAGAATGTGAAGAACCAGTGGCATCTACATCTACAGAATGTGAAAAACCAGTGGCATCTACATCTACAGAAAGTGAAGAACCAGTGGCATCTACATCTACAGAACGTGAAGAACCAGTGGCATCTACATCTACAGAACGTGAAGAACCAGTGGCATCTACATCTACAGAATGTGAAGAACCAGTGGCATCTACATCTACAGAACGTGAAGAACCAGTGGCATCTACATCTGCAGAACGTGAAGAACCAGTGGCATCTACATCTACAGAATGTGAAGAACCAGTGGCATCTACATCTACAGAATGTGAAGAACCAGTGGCATCTACATCTACAGAAAGTGAAGAACCAGTGGCATCTACATCTGCAGAACGTGAAGAACCAGTGCCATCTGCAGAACGTGAAGAACCAGTGGCATCTACACCTGTAGAACGTGAAGAACCAGTGGCATCGACATCTGCAGAACGTGAAGAAGCAGTAGCATCTACATCTACAGAATGTGAAGAACCAGTGGCATCTACATCTACAGAATGTGAAGAACCAGTGGCATCTACATCTACAGAATGTGAAGAACCAGTGGCATCTACATCTACAGAACATGAAGAACCAGTGGCATCTACATCTGCAGAACGTGAAGAACCAGTGCCATCTGCAGAACGTGAAGAACCATTGGCATCGACATCTGCAGAACGTGAAGAACCAGTGGCATCTACATCTGCAGAATGTGAAGAACCAGTGGCATCTGCATCTATAGACCATGAAGAACCAGTGGCATCTACATCTACAGAAGTGAAGAATCAGTGGCATCTACATCTACAGAACGTGAAGAACCAGTAGCATCTACATCTGCAGAACGTGAAGAACCAGTGGTATCTACATCTGCAGAACGTGAAGAACCAGTGGTATCTACATGTACCAGTGACATCGACATCTGCGGGAGATTGCACAACTTTTAAAGCCATTCCCCGTGTTTAGCGTACATGCCGTACAATGTGTTTGGACTTACGAACAAATCGACTTACGAGTAGTACCTCTGGAACAGAACTCGTTCGTTAGTAGAGGACCCTCCCCCCCCGTACATCGACAACATCGTACGCAGCAGCAGCAGCAGCGTAACCACGACAGCGGCGGCCCCCTTACCAACGTCGCTGGCGATGCGGCGATCGCGGACACCCACGGCGACCGCGTCCAATGGCCGCGTCAGGGCGCGGCACTCCGAGCTCGTGGGCCGGCCAAGTGGCGAGCCGGGGCCGGAGTGGTCGGAGTCGCCGCCGCCGCCGCCGCTGCTGCTGCCGACACCCCCGGGCGAGGTCTCCGGCCGCTTCCTGGTCTCGCCGTCTCCTCGGGGAAATCGAGAATCGGAATTTTTCGTTAGGACTTTGGGAGGGTGGGGGAGGGGGGGATCTGACGAGCTATGAAGCTAAATTTTTATTTAAAGCTTTCGTGACTGCAGGGATTCATATTCTTGCTTCTTTCGGTAAAGTCACCACGTAGAAGGGAAAAAATAAAATGAAAAATAAAAAATGCATTGTTTGATATTTTTATTATTCTATTGCATCCCTTCTACGTGACTTTACCGTAAGAACCAAAAATATGAGCTATGAAGCTCTTTGGTTTGTTTTTTTTTCCCGGGGATTGGGGGGGTCTCAGAACGTTCCAACGACAAACAATAACAACAACACGAGAGGAGTGGAAAGTAGGGAAAACGTAAACAAATCACTTATACAAATATATACACACAAATAAAACAAAAACACATTTTTTTTAAATCTCACCCAGGTAAAGCCCACTGAGCTATTCACTTATTTTTCAACAGTTTTACTTAACTTGATTTCCTGTGCCGTGGTCAAATCTTGTAATTAAAATTGAGTCTACTTACCGTTGTCCAATCAATTCCAAATTTTGCACACGTACTCAGATCCGGTGACAATGCATGCCTGTATCAAAGTCGGCATCAATTCATCAATTAATTCGCTACTTTAAAGCAATTCACATTTTGTATGGACGCCTTATTATTTACGTAAATATTTGAGTAGGTAAAAAACGCCACGGTCCCCAAACTCTCGATTCGCTTCGCCCAAGAAGGCAGGCGCCACGTGTCTCAGGCGCTACTGACGAACTTCTCGGCCGTGAGTGAAACGAAGTTGTTAATAAGACCGTTGTTTTTAAAAAAAAATGATGATGACCCTTTGCGTTATGGTCGAAACGTCGCGAGAATTTTTGATTGTTTTATATATATTTTATTATTTTATTGTTTCCCTTCAACGTAACTTTACCGAAAGAGCTAAGAACATTTTGTTTTAAGGAGTTTATTTTAACAAGCGATCTGGCCACCACAGATGCTAGCTCAACAAAGTTGCTCGTCGTCGCGTGCAAATGTATAGCGCCGTTGCAATCCCCGTCGCAGCCGCCACCGTCGTCACCGTCACAGTCGTCACTGTCACCTGTCACGTCACGGTCGCCACGGTAACCGTCGTCACAGTCGCCACGTCACAATCGGCCCACCGTCGTCACCGTCACAGTCGCCGCCGTCACAGTCGCCACGTCACAATCGCCCACCGTCGTCACCGTCACAGCCGCCACCGTCACAGTCGTCACCGTCAGCTGCCACGTCACGGTCGCCACGGAAACCGTCGTCACAGTCGCCACGTCACAATCGCCACCATCGTCACCGTCACAGTCGCCACGGTAACCGTCGTCACGGTCGCCACGTCACAATCGGCCCACCGTCGTCGCCAGCGTCACAGTCGCCGCCGTCGTCAGCCACGGCCGCGGCCATCACCGTCAACGACGACGTCGAACTCTGCCGACGGCTCTCCCACGAAGTTGCGCGTGCGGCAGGCATAGCGGCCGGCCTCGCCCGCCTCCAGCTCGCGGGCCGGGAGGCGGCGCGCCACCTCGAGGCGCCCGTCCGAGCGCAGGCGGCGGGCCCCCGACCCCTCCCAGGAGACGCGCGGCGGCGGCGGCCCGGACGACGGCGCCAGCGCGAAGGCGGGAGCCGCGGGGGGGCGCCCGCCCCCCGGGACCTCCATCGCCGCGGCGACGATAAGGCTCGGCGCGGCGGTGGCTCGGTTCCACTCGGTTCGGCACGGCTGTGGCTCGGTTCCACTCGGTTCAGCACGGTTGTGGCTCGGTTCCACTCGGTTCAGCACGGTTGTGGCTCGGTTCCACTCGGTTCAGCACGGTTGTGGCTCGGTTCTGCTCGGTTCGGTGCTGCGGTGGCTCGGTTCTGCTCGGCTGTGGCTCGGTTCGGCACGGCTGTGGCTCGGTTCTGCTTGGTATAGCTGTGACACAGATCGGCGCGGCTGTAACTCGGTTCCACTCGGTTCGGCACGGCTGTGGCTCGGTTCTGCTCGGTTCGGCGCGGCTGAGCTGTGGCTCCCTGCGGCTGTTGTGGTGCGGACGAGGAGAGGCGATGATTATTTTTAGGCAGAGGAGGTAACGACAACCGTCCCCCGGAGGGACAAGTGTGTGTGTGGTGTGTGTGACAAGTGTGTCTGTGTGTGTGTGTGGTGTGTGTGTGTGTGTGAGACAAGTGTGTGTGTGTGTGACAAGTGTGACACAAGTGTCTGTGTGTGTGTGGTGTGTGTGTGTGATGTGTGTGTGTGTCACAAGTGTGTGTGTGTGTGTGACAAGTGTGTCTGTGTGTGTGACAAGTGTGTCTGTGTGTGTGTGTGTGTGACAAGTGTGTGTGACAAGTGTGTGTGTGTGACAAGTGTGTGTGTGGTGTGTGACAAGTGTGTCTGTGTGTGTGTGAGACAAGTGTGTCTGTGTGTGTGAGAGAGACAAGTGTGTCTGTGTGTGTGTGTGACAAGTGTGTGTGTGTGTGACAAGTGTGTGTGTGTGTGAGACAAGTGTCTGTGTGTGATGTGTGTCTGTGTGTGTGACAAGTGTCTGTGTGTGTGTGTGTGTGACAAGTGTGTCTGTGTGTGTGTGTGAGACAAGTGTGTCTGTGTGTGTGTGAGACAAGTGTGTCTGTGTGTGTGTGAGACAAGTGTGTGTGTGTGTGTGATGTGTGTGTGTGTGACAAGTGTGTGTGTGTGACAAGTGTGTGTGTGTGTGTGACAAGTGTGTGTGTGTGTGATGTGTGTGTGTGTGAGACAAGTGTCTGTGTGTGTGACAAGTGTGTGTGTGTGTGAGACGTGTGTGTGTGTGAGACGTGTGTGTGTGTGAGACGCGTGTGTGGTGTGTGAGTGTGAGACGTGTGTGTGTGTGTGAGACGTGTGTGTGATGTGTGTGTTTGGTGTGTGTGTGTGGTGTGTGTGTGTGAGACGTGTGTGTGATGTGTGTGTGGTGTGTGTGTGTGAGACGTGTGTGTGTGTGGTGTGTGTGTGTGTGTGTGAGACGTGTGTGTGATGTGTGTGGTGTGTGTGTGGTCTGTGTGTGTGTGAGACGTGTGTGTGGTGTGTGTGAGACAAGTGTGTGTGTGTGAGACAAGTGTGTGTGTGTGTGAGACGTGTGTGTGTGTGTGTGATGTGTGTGTGTGGTGTGTGTGTGTGTGAGTGTGTGTGTGTGACAAGTGTGTGTGTGTGTGTGGTGTGTGTGTGTGTGTGACAAGTGTGTGTGTGAGACAAGTGTGTGTGTGAGACGTGTGTGTGTGTGATGTGTGTGTGTGTCTGTATGTGTGTGTGTCTGTGTGTGTGTGTCTGTGTGTGTGTGTCTGTGTGTGTGAGTGTGTGTCTGTGTGTGTGAGTGTCTGTGTGTGTGAGTGTGTCTGTGTGTGTGTGTCTGTATGTGTGTGTGTGTCTGTATGTGTGTGTGTGTGTCTGTGTCCGGCAAAACAACCCCCTACCTCCTCGCGGTGCCGGACGGGCAACTCTGTCGTGGACAGTGCTGTGGGGGGAGATCCAATTTTGATTGGCTCCTCCCCTCATGGCATATGTGTCCACCACAGGGGCTAAACGGGGGCTCTGGACGGGTGCGAGGGGCTGGTAACCCCTCCACCTTCAATTAATTACCACGAAACCACGAGTTAAACTGAAATATGTAACAAATAAGCTTTTGCCGGAGGCCCCGGGGGGCCAGGCGTCTATGACGTCTCCTGGCCAAACCCCAATTGGCGGAGCCAGGAGATTGAATACCTACCCTCGGGGCTACTCCAGAAACAACGAAAAGCCACTACGGGTGGCCACGTGGAATGTTCGAACGCTCACTGCAGAGGAGAGGCTGCCACTCCTCTGTCGGGAGCTGGACCGGTACCGCCTGGATCTATGCGGCATTCAGGAGGTCCGGTGGACCGGCTCTGGCTCCTGCCACCATGAGGGGTGGACAGTCCTCTACTCGGGACAGCAGACTGCCAAACAACAGGGTGTGGGTCTTCTTTTGAACAAAAGAATGAAGGGGGCGTGGGAGCGTGGCGGTGAGGTGTGGGAAGCTGTAAGCCCCAGGCTACTTTGGGCTCGCCTTCCCATCAACTGGAGGCGAGGAATGGTGGTCGTGGTTACTTATGCCCCCACCGAAGATGAACATCCGTGGAGGGATGCAGGCAAAGCCGATGAGTCAGATGCCTTCTATGACCTCCTGTCACAGGTGCTGGCTAAAGTGGCCCCTCGGGATAGAGGCATCATGTTGGGTGACTTCAATGCCCGAGTTGGTCATGATACTGGCACCTGGTCTGGAGTGATTGGAGGGCATGGGCCAGATCAGCTCAATAACAACGGTAGGAGGCTGCTAGATTTTTGTGCAGCCCATGGGCTTGTAATTACCAACACGCTGTTCCGGCATCGGCGCATCCACACAACATCATGGATGCATGCCGGGTCCAAGCAAGAACATCTGCTGGACTACATAGTGACGGACCAGCGAATGCGAGCCCATGTCCTTGACACCAGGACCTACCGTGGAGCTGATCTGCCCTCTGACCATCGACTAGTCATCTGTAAGATGCGCCTGCCATTCTTCCACTCTGGTGGTGGGTGTACACCCAGGACCCCATTCCAACATAAAGTGGCCTGGTCTCAATTATCTGATGAAAGTTGCAAGCGAGAATTTCATCATCGCTTGCGGCTGGGATTGGCATCGTCCCCGACTCCTCCTGATGTCGAGGGTAAATGGGCGAGGTTTAGGACTGTGACTCATGCAGCTGCAATGGCTGCTTTGGGTACGCGGTCCAGACCTCCCCAGAGACCCTGGCTGACAGAGGAGGTGTCAGGATGGTTGAGAAAAAGCGACAGGCCCACTGTCATCGGCTACAGAATCCCACGTCAGAGAATGAGGAGGCTTACCGCAGCCTTCGCTCGGAGGTTCGGAGAGCCGTGAGGCGCTGCAAGGATGGGTGGTGGTCGCGGGTTGCTGAGGAGATGGAGTCTGCCTCAGTGGCCCGTGATCACAAATCTCTATTTAACTCCATCAAAAAAGTAACCTGCAGCGCCACACCTATTACCATCATTAGGGGAAAAAACGGTGATCCAATCTCCGACCCCCAGGAACAGGTTCGCAGATTTGCTGAGCATTTCTGTGAGGTCCTGGGGGAGGGAAAATCCCACAGCCAGGAAAACATCGTGGCACAAGGTGAGGATGACCCTGCTGAGGCTGCGGTGCCTCAAATATTGGAAGAAGTCACCCCCTGTGAGTGGCTGGCTGAGGTGCCATCTGCCGAGGAAGTATTGAAGGCGATCCGGAGTTTGAGACCAGGAAAGGCAGTGGGCAGAGATGATCTCCCAAGCGAAATGCTGAGGGAGGGTGGCGTTTGTGCACAGACTGCCCTATATGACATCATAACAACAGTCTGGACCACTGGACGGGTTCTGCAGGATTGGAAGGATGCCCTGGTGGTCCCCCTTTTTAAGAAGGGGGACCGCACAGACTGTAACAACTACAGGGGCATCTCACTCCTCAGTGTGCCGGGAAAGGTCCTGGCAAGGATTATTCAGCATCGCCTTGCCAGGCACGCTGAGGAGAGGCTTGCGGAGCCCCAATGTGGTTTCAGGAAAGGGTGGTCCTGCACAGATGCCATATTTTCTGTCCGTCTGCTACAGCAGAGGTGTAGGGAATTCCAACAAGACCTACATCTCTGCTTTATTGACCTGGTCAAGGCCTATGATACCATCAGTAGGCCTGGGCTCTGGGTCGTTCTTCGTGCTTTTGGAGTACCTGACCCTCTGCTCACGATCATTAAGGACCTTCATGATGGTGAGCGGGCCCGGGTAAAACTACGTGGCCGGGAGTCAGAGCCATTCCCTGTACACCTTGGGGTGCGACAGGGATGTCCTCTGGCTCCCACATTATTTAACATCTATTTTGACCACGTAGTTCGTGAAGCCTTCAATAGCTGTACCGGGGGAATCTCCATATGGTACAGATATAATGGGAGGCTAATCGATGCCCGGGTGCGGTCAAGGGATGGCTCCCTATTGCTCAACCACGTTATGTATGCTGATGATTTGGTAATAGCTGCTCAGTCAAAGGAGGAGTTGGAGACGCTGCTGCTGAGACTGGAGCGTGCCACTAAGAGGTGGGGCCTTACCATCAGCCCCACCAAAACTAAGCACCTGCCTGGGTATTTTGTACCATCGGACACTCCACCCCCACAACTCCCAATCGGTGATGGGGCAGTTGTGGAGAGAGTGGAGAGTTTCCCATACCTGGGCAGTGTGCTTATGACTGGCTCCAGTTTAACAGCAGAGGTCTCACTCCGAATCAGTCGAGCGGCAATATCTTTTCATCGGTTGCGTAACGCTGTGTGGAAGCTACCTGGTCTGTCGCTCCGCACTAAGCTTCAGGTCTTCTCGGCCACGGTCATTCCCTCCCTTCTCTATGCTTGCGAAACGTGGACCCCCCTAATGGAACATCTTCGCCGGTTAGAAACATTTAGGCTGGCCTGCCTACGATCCATCCTGGGTTTAACCAGACTGGATTGTGTGAGGAGCTCACAAATCCTTGAAAGATCTGGGCAGGGTCCCATCGGTGAGCTCCTCCGGCAGGCAAGGCTGCGATGGCTGGGTCATGTAGCCCGCATGCCCAGCCACCGCATGCCGAAACAGCTTTTGTTTGGCCGGATTGAGGGAGCTAGGCGGGCGCGGCACGGGCTAGA